GCTCTTGAAGTAAAAGAAGTATTTCTAATAGAATTCAAGGTTTAGTGCATTGGAGAGGACTTCCTTTACTTTATAATTCAGCTGATGGTGGTTGCTGTGTTGTAAAGTATTGATGTCTTGGGATAATGTTTTAGCAAAGTCAGGGAAATAGAGGCAGTGGGAATCCAGCTCTGTGAGTCACTAGCAGCATTAATATTCATACCTGCATATTCTAGGAACAGAGACCATCACTCATTAAATTAGTTGCCCAAATAAAGCAGTTAATTGATGAGCTGTTAACTGAAGGATGGCTGGAGCTCTTTTTGGTCATCAGTGAAAGGCATTCCTTGGGAACAGCACTGTCATCAGGATAATAGTTTGAAAGCATTTAGCGAGTATAGGATGAAATCAAGCTTCTAGATTCTGTTAATTCCTTTTTGTTTCTCTTCTGGTTTTCCTCCTTTAGGCTGCTTCCTATATCATAGAATCATAGAATGGTTAGGGTTGGAAGGGACCTCAAAGATCATCTAGTTCCAACTCCCCTGCCATGGGCAGGGAAACCCTCCACTACACCAGGTTGCCCAAAGCCTCATCCAACCTGGCCTTGAACACTGCCAGGGATGGGGCATCCACAACTTCTCTGGGCAACCTGTTCCAGTGCCTCACCACCCTCTGAGTGAAAAATTTCTTCCTTATATCCAATCTAAATCTCCCCTCTTTCAGTTTAAAGCCATTGCCCCTTGTCCTATCACTACACGCCCTTGTCAAAAGTCCCTCTCCAGCTTTCCTGTAGGCCCCCTTTAGGTACTGGAAAGCTGCTCTAAGATCACCCCAGAGCCTTCTCTTCTGCAGGCTGAACAGCCCTAACTCTCTCAGCCTGTCTTCATAGCAGAGGTGCTCCAGCCCTCTGATCATCTTCGTGGCCCTCCTCTGGACCTGCTCCAGCAGCTCCATGTCCTTCTTGTGTTGGGGACTATTCGATACTTTCCCATTAAGAAAAGTTTTCAGTCTTGTATTTGCGGCAGTCTTGATGTTACAGGCTGAGTACTAGGCATTTGCTATCAGATGCCATGCTACAAATGGTGAATGAAAATTTAAAGGGAATAAAGACAGAATTTACTTGGTCTTATAATGAATTCATCATTGATTTGTAGATGTGCATCTCCTTTCCTTTTACCCATCCCTGTGAAATCATTGAAATGTCATTCACCCTCCCTCATGGGTAACAAATTTTTGATAGTGCTATTGAACAAAGTTCAGCATTATTTTTAAATCAACTTTTGCTGGATCTTAGCATGAGGCGAACATAAATAATGAAAAGGAGAGGGGTTTTTTTTTAGGATAATTGAACTATGTTGAACAGGGAACACTTGTGAAGAACTTTAAGGAAGATTAGAAAGTTCTGCAGTAATAGGTAAAAGCAGCTGGTTTTTAAACTTGCATTAAATTTACTAGGGTTCTTGTATGATGAAATTATCTGTTTCCCTGAGAATTGTAGCAAGGAAAATGGTAGTCAAATGTTACGGATCCCAAATTTTAGGCACTAAGGAAAGCAGAGGAAATGAAATACTGACAAAAATTTACTGTACTTGTCTGGTGTCCTGCTGAATACATCTTAATCTGTGATAGGTAACACATCCAGGCAGGCAGACAGTGGTCTGGGAGGTTACTTAACAAGAGGTAATGCACAGCATAGTTATGTTAAAGGAAGTTGGGAAATATTACGGAGCATTGAACAACTCTTCCTTTTTTTTTTTTATTACTCTGCCTTTAGCAACTTATTTGTATCAGAATCTAAAATTGGACTAAGTTGTACTGAAAAACTACATGTAATACCATTATCTTCATAAGTTTATAGGGGGAGAGTTCTAGTGGCCACTTCATCAGTCTTTTTCACTCATATGTCAAGAGCAAAGGCTTTCTTTGAGACTCACCGACATTTCCGTGCCTGCTATTTAAGTGAGATATTCCTGATGTCAAAAAGTGTCTGCAAAGAAAGGGGGAAAAACGCTACTGTAAAGTGTTTTGAAGACTATTATTATGTCCTCTTTTAGGCTTTTTTTTTTGTTGTTTTTTTTTGCAAGGTTAAACAAGTTTGTTAGACTGCTGTCCTGGAATCCATCCAGCTTATTTCTTGAAGCCTAGAGCAGAGCACAGTGCTGCCATGGAGCCTGTGCCCATGCTGCAGAGAAGGGGATGGCATCCTGCCTCCTGCAGCCACCACGGCTCCCACCACTGCCAAGGCCTTGGGCAGAGCCGGGGGGCTGCAGCCTTGTCACCAGTGTCACGGGTGGGTGAGCAGCAAGAGCAATAGTACCGATGAGAGTGGTATTGATTAGAGCGCTTGACTCACATTCAGGCAGACTCATCTGCCTAGTTTGTTTTCATATATTGGATTGAGGGACGTGTATAGATCCTGTTGTCTTTGTTTTTTGCAAGTTTGTGTTAAAAAATACATTCATGTCCTTAGCCTGACATTAATGTGCATCTTGGAGCTTAAAGTGAAACAGGTGAGATGCTCCTGAGAAACAAGCTAACAAAAAAATACATAATTTTTTCTTGACAGAAATACTGCATTGCCTTTTCCTTGAAAGTTTTTTCTTTTTTTTTTTTTTTGTGGAATAATAGCCTTTGCACCAGGGCTTACCTTCAGCCATTCCCATTAAAAATTGATCTGAATGTGACCAAATTCAGTTTTATATGAAGTCCAAGTTCATATTGAGGTAACGTTAAACAGCAATTTGTGACTGCTCTGGTGAAGATAGGCATGGGCACTGGGAGCTTTTATGTCTTGTGACAATAAACCCCCTCACTGCTTTCCTCGTGGTATTGAGAAAGACAAAACCACAGTATTGACATACAGATGTCATGGATTAAAGTGGAAGAATAGCATCAGCACACAGGAACCTGCTTGCCTAGGAGACTAGGAAAGTAATACAAAATAGACTGTCCTGAAGGGCTGCAGGAGACATCACATCTGGGACCTTGAGAAAAATTTATTCTGTCTGAATCTGGACAGGATGTGCCATTTGAGTAGAGTTCTGATCTCAGAGTTCTGAATTGACTGATGAGAATATGTGCATTTTGAAAAAGAAAAGAAAATTTGGGCAGAAAATCTTTCCTTTAAAACCTTGAGAAAGTTAAAAGCAAAATGCTTCTGTTAGAAGGCCAGTGACAGTGGGTTTTTTTCTTACATGAAATCTTCTGAAGGAAGGCAGGAGTGTTTACAAATTATTATTCTGTATTGTTCACAGTAGTAAGTATGAATTTTTAGGTTTTGGAGGATGTCATTCAGGATGTCTATATCCACAGCTAAGATGTAAAAGTGGCACATTTGTAGCTGAGAAATGTCTGCTTCTGGTGGACAAAGACAGAAGCACAAATGAGTAACACAGGTACTGGAGATGAGTGCTGGCATCAAGACAATTGTCTGCGTTGGTGCTATGTCATTTTTATATTTGGCAGTTAGGCAAATTATGTTGACTTAATAGCACGTAGTTACATTCCAGGAAGAATTTGAGCGTGGTGCATGTTGAGATAGAGGTTTATAGTGCTAGCTCTCTGGCTCTCGTGATTCCACTCTGGCCTGTAGCTGCCTCTCATCAGTGAAAGGGCATCTGAAAGAAGTGGAAGTATGCTTAGCGGTTACTATTTCTCATTTTTTGTTGCTTCAGGATATTAATTTCTGCTCTTAGTTTCGTGAGCGTACTTCTTTTTGATCAGACAGTGTAACAGATTAATACGCAGGACTACTCTGGCTGCTGAGAACACATCTGTACTGCTGGCACCTTTGCTGACAATTGCACTGATACTGTATGTACTGCAGCCTGGCCTTGGAAATGATCCTTCCTTCTTACAGAAAACGAGGATTGGCCCAGCAACTACACTCCTCCTTGCATGTGGCCTCTACTTGATAATTTAACAGAAGAGTTTGACACCCTTGAAAGCAGCCCCCAGTAATCTTTCTCAGCTTGTACTTGTGTGTGTATTTCCTTTTCATAATTTTTTCCTATTATTTTTTTAACACTACTGTTACAAAGAATAGAAAATGTCCATATAAAATGAAACAAACTAATTAGTTGTCTTAGAGTTATATGGAGGAGTGGAATAACATCGGGTGTGATGCATAAGATCTTTCCCACTAATAGCTTCCTTGAACGCTTTACTCCATTTTAGGTCTCCTTGTCCTAGTGTTATTTCTGTGGAGTGCCATTATGAATATTTCAGGCTGGAATTTGATTTTGTTTAATTTCATTATTCTAACCTGCTTAAAAAAAAATCAAAACAAACCAACCCCCCCTAAACAACATACAACCGTACAAAACTGCAGTTATATACTTACAGTATATAGTAAAAGAAAGTTATTTCTGATCTTCCTTAGCTATGGATACTTTCTTGACTTGGCAGTCTTGTATACAGCAATGTAATCCAGGAAAAATCTTGAGATCAACCTATACCAGAAGGAAAAAACCTCAAACCTCTATGGAGTAAAAGTATCTACAAAGGGAGTTAGCGTGGAATAAGTTACTGCGTTTTCAATTCTCACCCTTGCATTTGTTACACCATCTTCTCTCTGTAGACAGGTTTAAGGGGAGGATAATTTTTTAAGGATGAAACTCAATTTTCAGAGGGGAATGGGATTTAACAGTACAACTATCATTACAGTTTGTGAGCTGCATGTAAAGATGTTGAGAGTTTTATGGCTTACGTTTTTAATGCAGCTGTGTTTTAAATAAATGTCTTTTTATATTCTGCTGCAACATCAGTTTTATATCATGTGGAACTAAGATACTTTACCTTCTATTTAGGCATATTCCTAGGTATCATTAGGAATAATATTTGAAGCCATATCAGGTGACAAAATGTCAGCTAAATGCATTGTTGGTTATAAGGCTGCTTCTTCAAGCTGCTTTCTGGAAAAGATGACTCTTTCTTGCCATATGAGCCTATGGATGCGACTAGTTTATGCATTGTCTCTGCACCCTTTTCACCCATATTTTCATCCTTGTTTTCCCCAACAGAAGGGTGAGCCAAACTGCAGTGTTCTTTCTCCAGAAACCACGGAGCAGCTGACCTTTGAGATTCCTCTGAATGATTCTGGCTCTGCTGGACTTGGTGTGAGCTTAAAAGGCAATAAATCTCGGGAGACTGGAGCTGATCTTGGGATTTTCATCAAATCTGTTATTCACGGAGGTGCTGCTTTTAAGGTATGGAAGAAATACATGTGACAATGACTGCATTAGAATTCTGGCATTTCCGTGTTGAGTACTGAATCTCACTTGATAAATGTTCTAGGAACTAATACTTTTTTGTCACTCATTACTTTAGTCGAACTGCAAATCTGCTGATGTTTTGTCCCAAGATTCTGGTGTCGTGTAATGTAGCATTTGCCACAAAGAAAGTGAATTGGTGGAAACCTTGGGGGCCATTGGGATGCTGCAGGAAATGGGGAAGTGGGAGAAGGCTAAGAGTGTGTGGGTACAAGGGGAGGCTGCCTCCCAGCTTGCCCACAGTCCACAGAAGTGCATGGGAACGTTTGCATGCTGCTAGACTCAGTAACAGAGAAGTTAAATGTCTACGTTTATTGTCTTATCTGCACTGCTTTTGGTCCTCCCAAAGTGATACAGGCAGACCCATAAAAAAACAAGCAAAAGACAAACTTCTTCCTAAAAATTAGAAATAGGCAATTCTGTGAAGTTAAGGATTATGTGTTTAATTTATGCTGTAAATAAAAAGCTAGCTCATCCTTTTCTTTCTTTTTTTTATTCAAAATATTTTTTTAGCATTGTAGTAAAAACGTGATTTGGCTGAGCCTGGCATCAATTGTGCAGAAGTTATCAGTTGTTCCTGAGGTAGATTGAACTGGTAATATATGATTGGTAAATGATAGTATTATGAATTGTTCTGCTCCCTCTAAGGACTATACGATGACTGTTGTACGTTTTTATGATTAAAAAGTTTATTTGAATTATTTCCTAATCTTTAGGAAATCTGTTGACTGCAGGTTTTTTCCAAATAAAATCAGAAAAAGGTAACTTCCTTGAAATTAGAAACGAAAGTCTTAATCTTTCAGTGCTAGTATGTTTAACTGTTGTGGATCCATAATGTAATTTTTTTCTCTTGTGTTATCTCAGCAATTCCTCATGGTTCTCTTTTCTGTAAAAATACCTTTTAATTCAGTGTATGTAAATTCCTCTACTGATATCAGCCTGCTGAGTAAGACAATTCACAGCCTTAAAACTTTCATGATTATCTATTTACAGCAGCTGGTAAATAGCAATAATCAAGGATTTAGCTCTGATATGAATGTCTAATACTTCCCTGCTTCTATTATTTACCTATCCTAGTCCCACAGTTATTTCAAAGCTTGGATCTTCTCAAGTATAACTGAGCCTGGTACATGCAGTTCAGCACAGTCTGTGGTTAACTCAGGGCTAAATGACAGTTGAGCAAGCTCATGTACTTGGTGTATATCAGAAATGAGTTAAGGCACGATTGGCCAAATTAGAACTGGATAAACTCAATTTATGTGCATGTCTGCTAGAGAGTGCGACTCATTTTACTGTGAAAATGAGGCCGCCTTCCTTGCTTTCCCTGCTCTGTGTTCTCTGAGTAATTGTCCACACCAGTGGCAGTGATAGTGTGTATTGCCATGAAAAAACTCCATTGTTTTGAATCACAAAGCTTGTGGAGCCCTATTGCAGCAGCGTTAGCGGGGTGGTTACCTGACTTGTCACGTCATAGACACATAAGACAACCCTTGCTAGCTCTGTATGTTTACCACTCTCCTCTCAGTTACTCTCTCCAGAGCAGTTAATTTTGGCTTGAGATGTCTGCAGACTAATAAAACAGGACTGTGCGCACACCTAAGTAAACAGGCAACTGGCACCATTAGTCACCATAACTGGAAGATTATTTTGTCTTGTGATAACCTGTGGTCCTGTAACTTGTTCTATATTCTTCCTTCTTATAAGCCTTTCACAAATTGGAACTGTGTAGTAATAGATCTGAGTGTAGGCTCTAGAGCAAGTGAGATAGTAGCTGAGGCTCTAGCTTCAGCCACAGCTGGGCAGTGAATCCTTCCTATGTGTTCTATACAAGTACTCACAGAATGCAGTTATTTTGGCAATGTCTTAAGAACCACAGTTTACTGTTGCATATGCATGGAGAACAGCTGTCTTTCTCCTGTCTAATGACCTTTATATAGAACAAAACATAATCAGTGGGTATTAACAATTAATAAAATTTCTTATATGAAGTTAAAAAGTGTGCATATATTTGTGCATAAATATTTAAACATGTCCATATTGTCCTTATTTTAAATGCCTTATTGTAGTGAGTTTTTAAATAAAAAGCCTTTCATTCCAGCTGGTAGTTGTCCAGAGCATTTTCTCATGTTATTCATTGTAACTGTCTGAAACAGAGTATTATGGATTTAGACATGTGCATTTGCTTTTCAGTGTACAAAGTTTTCTTGGGAAACTATCACAGGAGGAAATCATAATGCTCACTGACATGAGAATTCTCTCACTATTTCTCACTTCTGCCTTTAGAGTTTGAAATTTGTTCGGATTTTGTGATACCATGCTAATATAAGAGGGAGCTTTATCCCTTGTCTATACAGTCACCCCGTGTCTTCAAAAGAAGACATGTAATACATTGAACTTCAGCATGTTTGCTTCACTGCTGAAGTAAATGCTCAGTCCTAAAGCTGTGTAAAGATTTTGATATATTAAATTTCTTTCACCGGTGTGTTTTTTAGAATTAAGAGTATGTATGAGATGCAGACAATTTTGGTTGGTTACTGTTATCCAGTAGTGATCTGAACCATTAATTTTTAGTGTTTTTCGAAATGTTAACACATTAATGTAGCTCTGTGTTAGTGACATTGCAAAGTACAGTAAGGGAGTTGTAAAAAAAGGAAAATAGGAGTCTTTCATTCTATGCTTAATGATTTTTTTTTTCGTCCTAGCTAAAAATTTAGAAAATATTAATGCATCTTGCATCATACATGCTACAGTAAGACCTGGTGCCTATTTACTGATCTTGCTACAAAATAAAATGAAGTAAAAATACCTTAATATTCTTAGTTGTTATTCTAACACTATATCCTGCAGGAATAAAACCAGTTGGTTTTGCTGATTGAACCATTATGTCCCTTCTTAACCTCCTTTTGTAATTTTTGAAGTGTCTATTTTTTATCATTCCTAAGATAAAGAGGTTACTAGAATATTGATATTTGTAATTATACAGAGCCTTTCATGTGAAGAAAACTAACATTTGACTGAGTTTAAATGCATCATCTTTCCCCGTAACTTCAGGGATTTCAGCCTTGTTTATCTCGAGACATTTTGGCTTTTCAGTTGTGATGCCTTCCTCATGATCAGGTACTTGCTGTCTGCTACACCTGAAATGCAGCAGAGCCATTATTAGAAATGATAGAATGTTTTTCTGTGTCTGCATTTGTTCAAACCAAACACAGTGTAGCTTGATCCTCCTTGGGGCTTCTGAGTGCTGTCGCAGTAAACATTGCTAGTTGTGTGCAGTGGATGGGGAAATGGGATGATTCCAATAAATGCCATCAAGAAATTCTTTTTGAGTGAAATGCCGTTGATGTGATAAGGGAAATAACTAGATGTGCTCTGATTAAAAACATAAGTCCATGAAGAACATGGCATTATCTCTCCCTGCTCTGCTGTAAAAAGCATGAGAGTCTTGCGACTGACTGAATACGGTAGCCATGTGGTGGTGGGTTCAACCCCTTGCTATGAGTCTCCATAAAAAAACCCAACAGTTTCTGAGTAAGCAGGGGAACAGTAACTTCACCCTGTATCAGAATAGCTCAATTGCAATTTCAGATACGGCATTTGAAAACTCTTTTGCTGAAATGCCAAATGTTGTTTTTCTACTTGGAAGCCACAAAGAAACCTACCTTTCAGAGATGAAAGAAAAAAACGTGTTAAAATAACATTTACCTTGTTTTGAGCCAAGCAGATTGTCTTGCAGTTCAAGCTTTTAAACCAGGCCATAACACCAGTGATGTGAAAATCTGTGTTTGGAAACTGTTTAGACATAGGGATTGGGGTTTTTTTCAGTCTTTAAAATAACAAAGGTTTTTCTGTGGAATAACTTCTACCTGAGCATGTGTGAAAACAGTGTTCAGCTGTCTTCCAGCTTACCCTGTACAGGTGCCTTAGCAAGTGTAGCTGATCAGCATTTATAAAGCACGCACACTTTTTATCTCCGATCATAGTTAAAGTGTTGAATTCAAGTTGAATTTTGCATTTAAGTGGAGCACGTAACAGAGTGAGAAGAAGGGAGAGGCATCAAAAGAAGTTCTTTAAGAACTGACATTATTAAAATAGAAATAAATACAAAGTCTCATACAAAAGTATTACAAGGCAAATTAAAAATCCAGCCAATTCAGAGCTTTCTGAGGCTGCAGTGATTAATTTAAAAATATATGTAGTTTTCAAGATAGTTGCATAGTCAACAGATGTAGTCATGAAAGATACATTTGACATTGTATTTGTATATACTTCAGTAAGAAGCTCTAAGGGATATTTATACATGGGTGTTTATCCACAGAAAGGAATAAAAGTAATCCAAGAACCTGTGGGACCATAGGAGGAGGACATGAGGACCTGTAAAATTTTCGAAGTCTCACAGAAACTCACAAAACTTTTTTTTCCCTCAGACTTCTGTTGCTGTGAATGGCTCCATTCATTTCAGGAAATTTTGATGGAACACAAAGGAATTGCAACATGTGCAAATAATAAAACTCCCTGTTCAACAGTGTTAACTCTTCTCTCCCTAAACTTTAGTGTGTGTGATGGCATCATTTTGTATGTAGAGAAAGGGTGGGGTTAACCTGTTGACTTTGGCTGTGTGTATATTTATGTTGGCATGAAATATTCAGCATCGAGGCGGGAGAGGTTTCAGTATCTTTTCCAAATGGCACTGCTGTTTCCTATCCTCCATTCCCGTACCCTCTTCAGAAGAGTTTTATTTCTCTTCATTTTCCTTCAGTGAGTGACTCATCTCCCAGTTCTGTCTTTCCACTTCTTGTCCCTCCCAGTTTATTTTGGATTCTGGTATATGCTGTTCTTCAGCTCTGTGGCTATTGATACTCTGCTGTGGTAATGATGATACTCAGTTCTAACAAAAATAACGCTTAAGAAAGCTGGGTTTGTCACAGCTACTGTAACTCACTTGAGCACAAATGACTTAGCCTTGGCAGCAATAGCAGAATAGTTAACTGAACGTCTCAGTGATAGAAAAAATAAAGATTGAAAAACACATATATTTTGGATTACTCAGATGCATGAAATATGTAAACAGTTCAGACGAGTGCCTTAAGAAGAATATATCATGAGCCTGTGAATGAATCAGATTCATTTTAACCAAGCAATCTATTTCTATGCAAGTTCTTTCCCTGCTATTCTTTCTTCACTGCCCTTCTGTATTGGATGTCTTCAGTTTCTTTCTCTTCCTTCTTTGAGGTCTGATGCCAACCTGATAATTGTGAACTTTACAAGCTTTAGAAGAAACTCTCGTCTCTTAATTAAATAGACCTTATTGTCTTGTTAAAGAGAGAAAAGTCCATGGCACATGCTTTTGTGAAAAGAAATAAATCACAGATAATAACGACAACAGCAATAGGACTCCTAAAGCACAAAATAGCAGTGTCCACGATTTTATTACACCCACAAATGTCAATTAACCTTGGCAATGAAAGTGAATGCCCTTTTTCAAAACATGGGCTGCTTGATATGGATCAACCTGGATTTTGTTATGGGCAGCAGGTCTGGATGTTAAAATACACGGATGGTGTTAATTAATATAAGGATGCCAGAGTCTTAAGGACCATTGTGAACTGAGAACACCACCCCAAATGGTGGCATGGTAATTGTGACAAGACAGATTCTAGTGACATGATAAGACAATTTTTTTTTTTAAGCTGTTTCTTACCAGACCCTAATAGCAGATAATAATGCATGGAAAATATGTCGCAATACTCCTTTGTGGTTGCACTGTAGATACTAACAGCTATGGTGTGGGTTCTTTTAACTAACCAAAATCTCCTTTTCCTGTTTTCTTTTTAGAACTGATACAGATGAAATTATATATGCAAATAAACCAGCAGCATGTGCATGCGTTTCTGTGTTTGTAATTGCGCTCTGAACTCCTCCCAAAATGTAGTAAATGGAGGGAAAAGATGGTCAGTTAATAGACATAAAGATTTTTCTTTTTACAGACCTAGTACTATGCAGTCTCTTGTTTCTTAAATTTTAGAAAGCAGTGTGTGATCATTTACATCTTTCTATGTAGCATCTCTGCCTAATAATTCTTGATATTTTTGTCATTTTGTTTTGTTTTGTTTTTTTGCTTGTAGGATGGTCGTTTGCGAGTAAATGATCAGCTTGTTGCAGTAAATGGAGAGTCACTTCTGGGCAAGTCAAATCACGAGGCCATGGAAACACTAAGGCGCTCCATGTCTATGGAGGGGAACATTCGTGGAAGGATCCAGCTGGTAGTTCTCCGGAGATTAGAGGTGCAGATAGAGGTGAAGCAGTAAATGCCTTTATTAGATAAACATATTTCCAGTCTCAGTGTTTCTGCATACAAGAGATGATGGCTAAAGTCGTGGTCAGAGAGAGCTCCTCCTGGTAGAATGAATTCTTGACTTCCTAGAGTCAGGATTCACACAGTGTTTCTAGTTGGTATCTCCTGGTCTTACTGGTCCTGTTGAGGCCAGACTAAAAGTTGCCTGTTATTTTAGTTTGACAAGTATTAAGAACAAAAGCAAATGTAATCGCAGAAAGGGTTAATTTAGGATTACTCTGTTGATGTAGTTTTGACTATCTACTACCTACTCAAGGCAATAGCTGGGATACAAATGATTTCAATTCATCCAATTTCATTTGTTGTCATGATCAGGACCTTAATGTCTTAGTCTGACTTGGATTTTACTTCTCTCTTGCATTTTCAGTTTCATTAGTATTTTAATTTCCTCCACGTTTTTGGTGGGGTTTTTTTGGTGTATTCTGCTGGTCCTGTTCCCCCACCTTTTCCCTTCTTTTCTTTTTCTTTTTCCGCCTTCAAGGAATTAATGTTTTACTTTCCCTAGTCAGATGAAGGCCACCTCTTCAGGATGGGTTTCTGAGTTGATTAACATAAAACTTGCTTAAGTAAGGTAACAAAATAAGAGAAGAAAGAAATTTTAAGTTATGCTTTCTAGACCTCATATAAATTAATGTTTACCAATCACCTCTTATTTTGAAAGGATTGGGTTTATGATCTCTCTTGCCTCTGCTTTTTCATGCATGCATG